CTGTCAAGCAATAACTGACAACTGACAATAACCAAGAGGAATTAAAAGCGGTGTTTTAATTCAGTTTATGCTTGGGCAGCCCTTTGGGCTAATGAAATCCCAATAAAACGCATATTTAGCCTGAAGGCATGTTAGTTAGGGCATAACTTCAAGGCAGGACGTGCCAAGCATTATAACATGCACCTCTGAACACATATCCTTGGGCTGAAGCACAGCGAGATTTTTTTTTTTTTTCATTTCATTTTTTGTACCTTTGGCATTCATCAGACTTTGTATATATAGTACTGTCTTTACCAAGGCTTAAAAACCAATATTCCGCACTCAAACTGAAATTTAGGCGAAACCAACCCAATTTTGAGCAAATAACGTTCACTATGTGCCGATATCTTGACGGGCAATGTGAGAATAAGAAAAAAAACAACATAACTGCTGCATTAAAGACATAAAAGGAGAGGGTCCGGAGCTGGTTTTTAAGTCCCATGAAATAACAGACATCAGATGTTCAAATGTTTTTCCTTTTGGTATAAATATATAACAATACGGCACTGTTAACGGTACTTAGGTTCCATTTAGTTATTAACAAAAGCCAAAAGAAGATGGGACCAATTCTGTCCACTGTAATTTCAAATATCTAAACCTTCTATCTGAGATGCATAAACCCGATGGGATAACAGGTATGTCGCGCGGCTTGGACTAAGCACCTAACTGGTAGTAAATTACTGTAATACCAGCATTTAACGTTAATGTCTATAATTATTCTAGTCCATCAATCAAATTTCTGTATATTTTGTATCTAAGGTAATCCAGGTTTCCCATCAAAACGTAAACGAGGCCAAAGTGATGTAGTTAGTGGGTGGTCAGTTGGAAAGGAAGTATATGATTCACAAAGAAAGGGGAAGTTTTAACCATTGTCGCCTAGTTATCAACGCCGTTTTGGAAGAAGAACATCTATGAACGAATTGTTTGTGAACTTTTTTTTAGGATCTTGCTCTCATCATAGTCAAGATTGATATCGGTACCAAATATCTTTACATGTAAGTTACGTGTGAGATTTTAGTTTCTGTTTTTGCTGAATGAGAGTTGTACTTTTATTTTCAATGCTACACAGAATACTTGTGGCATTTGTACGTGTCCACTGAGGCTGAGCTGTTTCCTGATTTGAGCTGATTTGGTGCAGCAAGGGACACAAGTTATCCCAGTGGGCACTTTGCACTGAAAATACCTTTACAATGCCCGCCACCTCATCTGTCACAAGTCAGGGTGGAACGACCGTAGCACACAAAGCGGTGTGAACATGGCACAATAATGCATTGTGTAGACAGTGTTGCATGGATTATTTATTACCGCTATATCAACTTGCAGAATGCTTCGCCAGGGTTCAAGCAGAATTTGCACTGACAAGTGTTTTACGTGTGGCAAGTGATCCTATCTATCTTTCTCGACGTTTAACGCATTACGTGTGTAATATTTCAAAATATAATCGTATCCATGCCCTCTGTTCTAATCTGATAGCCTGAATTGATAACATACATCTTGAAAATCAGAATATATGTACAGATTATAAAAGTTATTCTGTCAATTTGTGTTGTGGGCGTTCATCTTTTTACTCTACCTTCTTTCAGGGCTGGCAGGCCTCCGCCTAAGGGGCGTTCAAAAAGACGGCTGTATTCCTGGCAAATGCGAATGATGGAGTTAGAACTGGACTTCTTGGATTTAGACCAACTGGACTTCAGTCTCGACCCTCAGGTACGGGTAAATACTTAATTTTGTTTTTGGGTTCGCAAATACTGGTTAAATACTTTATTTTTGGTTTTGGGTCCGTTTTAGGGTATGCTGTAATATTTTCAAATATTTGATGCTTTATTGAAACATTATAACACGAATATCAAGAGCTTAGGTTCAGACCAAAAGAAATTTCGACGAAAGCAGAAAGTGAATTCTTTTCTAATACTTCAACAGCAGTCTTGTGTATGGTGCGTACTCATAGAAAGATAAGTTCGACGTTAATCATATACGTGCATGGACATACAGCACTGGCCACTAAAGTGTGCGTCACGACACTGAATTCACTGCGCGTCTCACAAGCGTCAGTGATGCTGATCTCGGACACAGATACGACACTCCTCGGTTGCTTTACGTGGAACCAAGCAATTCAGAGATGAATTAAAGCATTGTAAATATAAACTGTCAATAGATGTGTTGTTTAATGAAATCAAAATGATAACCAGTGCTCTTGTTTATAAGGAAATGTTTATATTTGTTTTTTATATTTGAGGAAACTCAGGTATGAGCTAAGATATTACGATACCAATCCGCAGGCCTGAGGGTTAAAGCAATTCAATAATTATGAAAGACGCCTTTGTTGCTATTCCCTTGGGAAATCTGTCAGTTTATTAAAAGCATTCCCCTTAAGCGAAGGCATCACGATTAGCGCGGATCGCACGGTGACCGAGGTCTGGCTGACAACGAGATCCGGACTTTGCATTCGCCCAACTTGTCAGAGTAAAGCGTTTGAAGAATTTTAACAAATTGAAAGGTGTTCCTAGTTTATTACAATGTGATTTAAGATATCTGACTTGTCTGTACTTGTCCGACATCAAATGGTGACAGAAAAGGCGACAGAAAATAAGAGGAAGTACTCCATCTTGTGGTTTACCTTTGCACTCGACTTAACAGTCATTGATTATCCTATGACAGCTAACACCTTTTATTCTTTTTCATTTTAGGTTCCGTTTTATCCTGTGGGTTTAGAAGAATACAAGCTGGATAATATCAATCTGGCTAGCCCCGGGACGTATTATAAAGATGTGCCTCCGGAACATAACCCGGAGGCAATTTTGGGTAGGTTCGGTGTTTTCTCATATACGTTGAAAAAGGTTGGTATCACATTAAGCAAACGCAACAACAAAAAACTATTGTGATATTGTCCCGCAATACGACTTAAACGCTGCTGAGGTTAGGTTTTATGGTATATAACTCTGCAGGTTCCGGAGTGAAAAAGTTGTGACCGGTGGTGCCATCCGACGGCTGTTTTTATATACAAAGACCTAGGTTGTTTGATGTGGTAAATGGGTCAAAATGAGATGAGTATGAAGCAAACTTCGGTCTTTTCTAAATTGAAAAAAAAAGCTGAAAACACTTTTTTACAACAAATTCCCCTACCAATAAAGTGGACAAAAGGTAGAGGTCAAATGAAGGTAGCAATAATTATAAGGAAAATAGCAAAAATAGTCTAGACGCTTGCAGTAGGCCCTACCCGTGTATGTACTAGTTAAATCAATGTCGGTAGTGAACAGAATTTGGTGTCATGCCAAGACAAAAATTCTATTCGTTCCAGCATTACCTGCCTCCTGGTCAATTCTTTCATTAATTAGGTTCTTAGCAGTGCATTACGCTTCTAGGTCTTTCAGGTACATGCGATTAAGCAATGGGGAAGAAATATGATTGCGCCCACTCATCCCAAAATGCATAAATGCATGGACCCACGCACACATGCATGCGTGCACGCACACATGGCCAATTATTCTTATAGTTCGATTTTGATAAATCAATTAGCGCTGCGTTACTCGAAGATTGAACTAAAATTGGACCGAGATAATATCAGCGTGCTCACTGCGGTTTCTTTTCATATCGTATATCATAATTATAGGCCTGTGCTCACATACTTCGCCTTATAACTTATAAATAAGATTTATCTCTCATTTCAGATATATTGGTCCGGGCACAGCACAACAACAGCCACGGGGCGTCCCCATGCAGCGACGGGTCAGTGCCTTGTGAGGAAGAGGTTGAAAATTTAAAGATCGACAACACTATTGCCGAGTGTTTTGTGAGTGACAAAGCAGATTCTGAGGTAAGTAATTCAGCGATGCGAAGCAAATGTAACACAGCAGAGAGTTAAAAGTAATTCCATTACCGTTTTCTCTCCAGAAGCCAGGTTTCTCAAATATATTTCAATCCATTTTCAGTCTAAGCAACGCCCTGTCCACAAATCGGTAAAGGAAAAGGGAATTGCATCAGCGGCTCCATTAAAAACAGAAACTATCTCTCACACTACGCCAACTAAACAGAAAACAGCAACAACCCCTAAAGACAAGAAATCACAAGGATTCGGTGTACGTTTTTCTAACGCAGAAAAGCAAAGTAATTCAACGGCAAATAGAAATAACTCAAAAATCGAACAGAATAGCAATGCTACAGGCAAGCAGGTAGCAGACACTACGTTGCTTGCGGAACACTCTGCAACTGCAAAACCCAAAGGTACTTTGGGAACGTTGAAGAAGTTGCGATCTCTCTTTCCGGAACGAAAATCCGAAACAAAAGAACAAACGGATACGAATAAGGAAAAGAACCAAAAATGGCAGCAGCACACGAATAAAACAAATGAATTGAACGCAATGGGCAACAAGATCCATTCATTTTCTAATGCTAATGACGTCACGGCACCCCAACTCAATGAACCGACATGTTATTATAATCCATTATCAGTTTTAACGTTACCACATAATAATAATCAATCTAACCGTCACCCAAAGGGGGGTCGAAACGGGTTTCACGAAAACAGGCATCTTTATTCTACCAGCACCGATGAAGAATCCACGACTCTGTCCGCGGCTAACTCTGACACTTCAGAGAATAGGACATATGGCAGTGTGTCTGACGTCACAGATATTACTGACGTCACGCCAATGACAGCATTGGTGTCCTCTCGGAAACATAGCTTGCAGAGTGAATCTTTTTTCCAACGTTCAAAAGAAACGCCCACTGCATACGTTTTAGAGTCAGACGACGAAGTTTCAGATACGTCATCTGTTTTAAGTGACCTGTCACCTGGATATTCTACTGGACCTGATGACGTCACAGATAACAAAGATGAACAGAAACTTACGGAGGGACAAAGTAGCAAATACACGAATCTCCTTTACTTTACTGCAAGAAATGGGAACTCAAAAAGCTTAGTAAGTATTTTTTGTTCATAGTTTTAGAAACGTATTTCCCAACTTTTGAACCTTGAATGTTCTAATAAATTGTATCAACCTAAGACTTTATTTTGTCTCTGGATTAGTCAGCGTGGAGTGCCTAGTAGATGGATTTTAGCCCTAAATTTTCTCGTCTCAGGGTTCACTACTATCTTCGGAGGACGTGGACTGTTTACATGACGTAGATGGCAATACATTAGCCCATTATGCAGCGTCTGGCGGGAACACTGACTGCCTCCGTTATTTAGTCGCCAGATCAAACAATGTGCTTAGCATATTAAACAAAAATGGCTTGACTCCAATCATGCTGGCAATACAGGTAACTGTCAGTCATACCAATCTATATAAAATTTCTATATTTTGATTTACTAAAGAAACCTTTAATTTGTCTGAATTTAAAGATATGTAAATTGCTACACCGTGAATGACTCGTTTAAATTTCATTACAATGTATAATGATATAATTCATCTTTTATATGAACTTATTTTGATTATTTCCTGATGAACATAAGTCTGATAAATTATCCTTACTGCAAATTAATTGTGTCTATCCTACTGAGGTGATGGGTAATTGTCTTTTTACGACTGTGTTTAGGTACATTATCATGTGATGTGCATTTTAATGGTAATGATTCACTCTCTTTAAAAATGGATCATAGAGAAAATCAGTAAAACAATGACATGTTTATTTTCATATTTTATAGGACGGGAAACTGAGTTGTCTGGAGTGGTATCTGAACTCTCAATACAGCACTGAAGAAAATATTAATTTAGTTCTTTATGCGGCTGATGTAGGTCAGGTAATGGGAATGCTGCGAATAATGAGGGCATTGTTATGTGCATATGTTCAACTTAGAATTCAAAACTCCTAATTCGCCATATGACACTAATCTGATAACACATGTTGGCTGTTTTACGAGTGTTACAGTGATTTGACGAGAAAATTACAGTTGTCCTTCTCATTTAAATTTATGTCATAAACCTGTAGATATATAGAAAATTAGCGAGACGAAGTGGCTGCAGTAAGAATAAGCGTCATCCACTGATATAAATCCACACCAGACAGTCAGAACTGACTAGCTCTACTACTGGGACACCGGCAGGAATTTATTATATTGGTATTCAAGAAAGGTCCTCTTTTTAGGGCGACTGTCTGAGGGCAGTATTGAGGAAGTTTCCAGCGAGTGTGTCCTACGCTGACAGTGAAGGTAACACGGCCTTGCATGCTGCCGCATCAAAGGGACAGATGGCATGTCTGCAGGTAAAGTCACTTTCTTATCATAGAAGCAATATCGCAAAATACAAGAAACTTGAAATTATATTTAGTAAATACACCACTGAGAATGCAGCGAATACAGTTTTCCCCCATGGATGAGGATGAATCCAACACTAGTTACATTCAAAGTTAACATCAAGATAGAGGACGCCATAAAACACATTAGGATATTAGATACTTAAGACTTAAAAATTGAGAAACAGTAGACTGTAACTCTGTGGCACCACGCAACACTTGGACACTAAAAACTCAAAGTTGTCTGGTTTAAAAACAATATACGGTAATTTCTTATATAGCATTGCAATAAAAAAGCTTGTGTGGAGTGAATTTTTACTTTATAGAGATTGAAATGTTTCTTTATGATAAATAACAAGTATCACGCAAAAATTTGAGACAAAGCAATGTATACGAAGTTATTACTTCAAGGCATTGGTGGACCATCGCGCTGATGTGACAGCTCGTAATCACGATAAAGCGACCCCACTGGATTGCGCCAGGCAAACCAACCATGAAGAGTGCGTAGAATACCTTCGACTTGTAGAAACCAACGCTGAACTACGCACTGAGGTCAACCATCTGTCGCAAGAAGGGGTAAAGTAAGTTGTCCTTTTTTACTTGTTTTCTTGCCGTGCTGCCATCGTGTCAATTAACTGCACTTTAAAGCACGCTATCTAGGAAGAAATCCTTATACATGCAAGAAATGATCCTTTCAAAATTTAAACGGGTTTTCTCTTAAACGCCTCTGTATACTCTAGCCGACTCTCTTAGGTAAAATATTTGGCAAATTTCAAAATTCCATATAAACTGTCATATTTTCTATGTCTACATATCCTCCAAAGCTACTGATCTTTCCCAATTCAGACGTTGTAAATTATAAAACCTCTCAAACAAAAGTACCTTACGTCGATATCTCCTTCTGAAATGTACAGAGACTAAAATTGAACAAAACATCGAACGTAAGCGCAAGGACAGGTAGAGCAATGATTCGTGAGTATATGAAAATTGCTCCCCCCCCCCCAAGGAAAATTCATTTTGGCGAGAAGGTCCAGTATAGAGTACTTTTCATGTTCAAAATTCTATTGTCGGGTATACTAATTGCCAAAATTCGTCCAGTGCACTTTATAGGGTCTGCTACTTGTTGCCAATTGTCTTACCGTAGGGCTGCAAACGTCAATTCTTTAATGTCTTTTAGTAGCCACCCAGCGTTTATGATGACACTAACCTCATTAGCATATTAGCATCAAGCCTAACATGTGGGCATATAATACCGGTACTACCCGTTTTCCAAGTCTCAATAATTATTCCACATGTGGTATACGTTGCAGATTTTTAGCTCGTTTAACCGAAAGGCTTGTTATTGCTGTGGAATGCACCAAAATACACCTTAATTGGAGGGGGGTTTTACTTGAGAGATGATGAATATTAAAAAACCAAGTTTATTAGTCGAATAGTCTGCATAATTACTTTTGGCTTACTATAGATAACTTGATATAGACTGGGTTCCCACAGATTTAGATCGATCCATCTGGATCGACCTAACTCCCTGGGGATTCACGCTGGATTGCTGTCAGCTTCCGGGAGCTGAGCGCGCGCAAAAGTAATTACCCCCTTACAGCTTTTAGTAGGTGGGACAGACATTTAAGTCGATTAAGCTGATAGCAATCTAGTGAGTCTCCCCAGGGGGAAATATCGGTCTAAACATCTGTGGGAATGGTCTCCTAGCTGAACTTTTGATGTTATGTGTATGGAAATTTCGCGGATGATTTAAGATTTAAACTGTCCACTAATGACAATGTAATCTAAGGCTTAACTGTGACAACTGCAGGTAATTTAAACGTTTTTGAAAAGAAAAAGAACCAAAAGGTTACATGTAAATTGTAACTCTCTAAAAAAATTTGAAATAAGTCCATAAGTAACATTTTAATATTTTGTAGGCGGGAATGGAAATATATCTTTTTCATTTAAGGTTGAGGTCAGAGCTGGAGGCAAAGCAAGACCAAAAGCAGATGGTAAGTATAAAATTTTATACCTGTCAGCAATTACTTGGTTTCAACTGAAGTAACGTAACATTCACAGAGAAATCAGGTCATAGACTTGCAGGTTTTAAGAGAACTTTTTTTCAATTTTAGACCATGAAACTATTACCCGAAGCATAATTATTCTGAATATTGTTATGAGCATAAGAATATACTTCAGGTGATATCCCAGAGAGACACCCTCCAAGCCGAGTTAATGAAGGCCAATGGTTTGAACACCAGGTGGCACACAGTAGCACAGCACGTGACCTCTCTCCTGAAGACACTGTCACAACAGCTGGAGGACATTTTCAGCGAAAACTCCACCTTAAGAGAAAAGTTGAACGGAGGAGTGAAAAACAGTTTTATTGAGTACGAATTTTGAAATGTAGCTCCCGGATTTAATCCATGCAATGCTTAGTATTGTAAGACTATGGATTAATTTTTGTGTCCTAAGAAGGAATGTTTTAGAAAGGAGCTAGCTCATAGGCTCTTCAGTGGAGATGCCTGTGACTAAAACATTGATCGTTCACTCTAGACTGTGTCCCAGTGTTGTCTTTTCTCATCTTTTACAAACAGGCTTCATATTTTACTATTGGCACTTACGCAAAGACCATATATGAAGTTCAGTGCAAGATAAGATGTGCATTACAGATAAACCGGGGTTTTATATATTCAGTATTGAAATAGTATGTGTAACAGACACTCCTTTTCTTTTAAGGGAGCAGGTGGAAGATTCTCTGGAACGTATAATTATGACGACAGAGGAAATTGAAGAATTACTAGAGGAAAACAAAGGAAATCCGGCAGAGTCTAATGGAGGAAAAACGACTCCGGATAAACTGTCTTTAAGGTTGGGACGATAGGTTTATGCTATATTGTATGTTTTTCTAAAAAAAAAATAATGACACCCAAACAACGCCAGTCAAATGTATTTTTGTATGTTAAATGTATTTTTGGTTTCCTGAAAATGTATGTGCCCGCAATGCTTCCATTACATTTTCTTCATTATTCAGGCGGAATGAGACTAAAAACCCAGCCATTACATCCAACGTCGCTGCTCCTCGTACATCTGCAGCAAAGAGCATGGATGGTAGTGATAAACGGTCGTCTGCTACAGCTGTTTCTTCTGGTTGTGTCAAACCCACAAACTTAGAAGAGAATCCGAATCGTGCTCATACAGTCTCCTCTCCTACAACGAAAGCTTGGCCATCAGTCGTGGATTCATGCTGCCATAAAAGACAGTGTCATCCAGGAGAAACACTGCGTGCTTCATACGAAACAATATATTCTACTCGACCAAGGCAATTACCAAACTCGGCCCAAAGTGGTGCTTCGGCATTGGTCTCGCTGCACGCCCGTGGGCTGACGTCTAGCAATGATTCTATTGCATCTAGCACCAAGGGACAATGTATGTTTGAGAACACAATGAAAGCATTTGATCAGGTTCTATGTAGTTCTCTTGAGAGTTTTGCGACGCTTGATGGGATGGAGAAACCTCCTATTGGAAGGCTAGGCCCTAGTCCGCTGGCACTCCCAAAAGCATCAACACCGAGCCCTACAATGGCACGAAAATCTCCAGATAGCTCGTTGGCTAACTTGACAATGGAATCTAGTAGATCAACTGTATCTGAGCTGGCAAATGAGTCTACTGAGCTTGGAGATGACAGAAAGTTAAATGAAGTTCTAGGAGATGAAAAAGTGATGGAATCTTCAACTGTTGGTGTAAATTCTGATGTCCAGAAAGAAATCAAAAGTATAAGTGCAAATAACCACCATGCTAACCACACTGTTCAAAAAATACCTCAGACACAGGATAATTCGACAGGGAGTCTGTACAAGCTGTATGAAGAGAACTTACTCTATGAATCTGATGAAGGTCAGTGGGACGAACAGAGCTCCTTTAACTTGGAATTGGGACCTGTTGTGTACGAGGAAAGTGCGATTGATGTGGTTCTCCAACACATTCCCACCTACTGCAATCGAACCAATGATTATGTGGAAAGTGTTGCATCCGTTCAAGGAGGCCCGAAAGATATGAACAGCAAACAATCGTACACAAACGACCATAAAGTACACGTGATCCATGAACATGGCCCTGAAAACAATTCCAATACTCAGACATCTCCGGAAGGTAACCTTGTCCATGTTGAAGATATTCAAATACACCTGCCAAATAATCAGCTAGCCGTTCATCAAAGATACGACAGAACAGTCAGTGGCAATAGACTGCTTAAAGTAGTTGTCGATGAAGATAATAACAGAGCGAAAGCAATTGGTTCTCTTGAGGATGTGCGTGTCGTCACCCCTAAGACAATTAGCAACGAATCTCTAAGCGCTTCCAAATCAGATCTCGTCTACTTACATAAGCTGGAAGGGAGAGGAAAACGTAAAACTGTTAAAAACCCATGCGCGATGGCCGAGACAGATCCTTATGAAAAATATGCATACACTGCCAACATGAATAATTCTGTTCATTGTAATAACAACAAGAAAAGAAATTCGAAAATTTTCAATTTCATAAGACCAAGAGACGACGACAAAAGGAATTCCTTTATTAAATCCGTGGAATTCTCGCCAGAAGAGTTCTTTGAAAGCTATGCTCGTTTTCCGGATAAATCGTTGAAAGCATCGAATTGCAATGATGTTGAACATAAGATTAGAAATGCCGATAAAACTAATGGAAACCATACCCAGCATAGCTCAATGAGCATGCAGCATGAAATGGACCAGGGTCAAGAAGCCCCTTGTGACAGGGCAAAAGTATATGTATACCGTGGTCAATCGGGGACAACTTCAAGCTGCGATAGTGAAAGTGAAACCGAGTTAAGACCCAAGCTCGACTTGTCTCACCTCTACTGTGCTGCAGAGTTAGCTTCCAGAAATTCAAAAGAAAGCAGCGGGACACTGTCTGCAGCAAGTGCAGATGAAGATGAGGGGAGATTTTCAAAGGTTTGTACTTGGAATTCGTAATTTAAAGAACTGCATTGTACATGTAGCGTTGCTCATTATATTTGTCGTTGAGAAGAAAAACCAAATAAATGTTCAAAGGAAGTTACATGAATAGTTTATTGATCAATTTCAACATACATATTATATCTTGAAAAACAGGACAGCATGACGTCATTAGCTCTCCCTGTTATGATATTAATCTTCTATTCTGCTATTGATAAGCAAAACACGTTTTCCGTTAGTTCCTGTTGCTGAAGAGTATTATTTATACACTGTTTTAAAGACATAAACAATCTTTTTGACAGGACGTGACAGGGCACCGACAGTCTGACAAGAATAGCTGGAACACTTGGTAAGAATAGAGCTTTGGCTTTCCTTATTTTACTGAAATCTTCTCATTTAATCAGTTGGCCACAGGAACCACAGGCATACTTGGCTGCGTGATGTTTGATAATTCGCAGATATACGCATTGATCATAAATTTGAAACCAGCACAAGCCACAGAACACATTTTGATCAATAACCAAACGCCCATGCTTAAAATGACACCAAAATGATCTTAACGCCCTCAGTTGATTAACGGAAGTCCGCCGTTACCAGCGTTAACGAAGAATTCTGCGTTTGTGTATGTGTGTACATGTATGATAAATCATACTCCGTTTTTTTTCTTTATGTTACCTGTCATTTCTGACATCATATCAGTGATTAAGGGAAACGTTAATACCTGGAGGTCACCTTGGAAACAGCAACGATATGTTCATATCATAGAAACGACCATGCACTTAACCGATGTTGTAATGTTCTTTTTCAGGTGCGACTTGTCCTCAGAAGACAGCAGCTTCAACAAATGCAAAAATCAGTGGTCTAATCATATTGAAGGTTTTGTCATATAGACATTAACCACCGAGAGGAGCCGAACTTTAGAGGGAGGTCGATATTAGCTTACGTGTGCCCCGCAATCACCATGTGCACAGGTGTTTCTCGTGACAAAGGAAACCGCAGTCTAAACAGAGGCAGTCTATTACAAATCCCCCAGGGCGAAAAATAATTCCCCAATACGTCCGTTTTAAATGAAGACATTGGAAATATCTGAGTCAGCTGAATATTGATGTGCAGTATCTCCGTCCTACTGATTGGTAAAGAAAGAAATCCACGGGCACACAATAAAATTTATTTATTTATATTTTGATGTTGTTCGGAGTCGTTTTATCCAAAGTAAATTACCTCTGTGATTCTTATTTCTAGCGATTTTATGGCCCCTCGCCTTTAAAAGGTACTTATTTGTGGTTGATTTCCACACCAGTGTGTTAAATTCTCCAAAATATAACTTTGTTGACAACAATGATTTAAACCAGCACGACATGACATAATAGCACACAGTATGTTAATCAAAAGACGTGAATTTGTTTTTTTAGAGGGAAAACAGATATTAAACTGCGCTTTTTCGGAGCATCAGCTGAAGGTCCTACATCTATGCTTATGACTGCAATTGCAATCTTATACGGTTGCAGTCATGGCCGTTTTAACTTGGCCATATGTTAAGGTTTCTGGAAAAAAATATATCCCCATTGCGTAAAGCTGTGACCTTAATTTTCTAAGATGGTTTATGGTTGGATCCTGTCATCTAATATGCGCAGCTGCGTCAGGTTGGAGTGTGTATTATATATAGTGCTGAGCTCTCGAAATACAAGCTTTTGTGCTGCGTCGAATTAACTGCTCGTATCTGGCTTGTCTTAAAAAACAATAACAGGAGTTTTGCATTTTGTAAAATAAGAAGCAAAGAACAATATATTTGAATCAAAGTAAAGTCAATTTTATTAAGATTAATTTGACAAAGGAGGCAAGTTGACAGGTTCTCCACCTTTTGACATTTCAAAGTCAAAAACATTTTTTCTATTATTTTCTTTTTCAAATGAAAGTTCCGAAAATATTAATTTGACAAAGGAGGCAAGTTAACAGGCTCTCCACCTTCTGTCGTTTCAAAGTAAAAAACATTTTTTTCTACTGACCATTTTTTTTCAAAAGAAAGTTACGAAAACATTAGTAAGACAATGATCCAGATATCATATGTATTTTGATCTGTTCAAGTTCTTTAGTATTAAATTTGTTCAAGTTTATTCGTAGGAGCTGATATTAAAGTATACGATGTTTCATGCTTATTTTGGCATCTTAATCGTTTCACGCTCGACAAATATTTGAACACAATAAATAAACTAGAGATATGTAATAAGGTAAATTCCAAAGATCCTAAAAGTTCGTAAATTTATACGTGTACCATTTAAAGTGACAAAGTGTAGGATTTTAAATGCGCGTTAGGCACATAAACTGCCTTCTGTTGGGCTTATTTAAAGACAAATAATACTTTTGGTCAAATTTTAGCAAATAAATGCCATCGATTTATGTTGCCAAAAAATAACCAAATCTACCATCTTCTACAGTTTTAAATAACGCGGAATCTGGAAACCAGTGTGAAAAGTGAGCTCGAAGGGATGGCAGAATTCGAAAAACCATGAAAACCCAAATGTGACTTACACTGTAACAGCTTTTAGAACTTTCAACTTTGTTATAGGATGCTAGAGAGTGTTAGTACAGGAGGATCAAAGGCAGGTATTTCGCGGGAAAATCCTACACTATGCACCGTTAAGAGATTTAACATGTTCAGTCCTCTGTCTCCGGCGTGCACGAGGCATCTTATTTATCAACAGCCGCTCTACCAACGGTTACCGGGTCTTTCCCCTTGTTCTGAGCTACGTTGCTTTCTGGTTCGTTGTTTCCTTTGTTTCCTTGGGCTGAGAAACCAGTATTCATGTCGTTGGGCACCTTAAACTCCACCTCAGGCTGTGCTCTTGACGAGAGCTCAGTTACAAGTCGCCTGTTATATTCTGCTGCTATGGCATCCATCAGTCGGCCTGCAAATTGGAGCTGTTTTTTAACATTTGTAATTCAAGACTCAAGTTTATTATATTACTTAAAGGGATAAAAACTGTTCGTATGAGACTCATATTTCACAATAAATATATTGTAAACAACTCAGAAATATGAATTCTATTTTACCATAAATAAAGCAGTTATCGCAATTATTATAGAATCTGCACTTGACATATGACCACGTGGACCTTCATAGATGGCTATACATCAGTAATTATCTCTTTTAAGAGATTTATGAAAAAAAACACACCTTTAAGAAAAAAAAACATGGACTGACTTTGAATGCCGGTGTAACGAAACTGAGGTCCGTGTAACAGAGAGTCCGCCCTCCAATTTGTTATAATGGTTAGGGTTAGCATGTCATATGCAGGTCAAAATCTAGGGCGAGGCTTACCTGTACAAATTAATAGGAAGCCAACTGTCTATCAAGGAGGACTCTCTGTCACGTTACACCGCTGTAACAGGAATGGAAGTCCTAGGGATGGAAGTCCGGGCTCCTATATGGTTAGTATAGGTTAGGGTTAGTTGGAGTACAGCTCCTAGCGGACTTTCATTTCTGTTACAACGGAAAAATCGTAGTTTACCCCGAGAAAATTCAATTTTTGACCAAAACGACCAGTTTTTATCCTTTGAAAAATGCACCAAAATATGGAACTATGACTTTTCCAGACTGCCGCATCCTCTGTGCAGTCGATTGTTACATATCTACATGTCTAAATGTAAAAAGAATTTTGACTGGATTTAGAGAACATTGTCCAAATTCCAAGCACACAACACATGATCTTGTGTAGCTAAGAAAGTGCAAAATGACGTGTGTGTGGGGGGGGGGGAGGCTCGCTCATGAAGGCGAATTACATGACCGTATAAAAAGGCGTATTTCAAGCGCCAGCGAAGATGGGTATCTGGTAGAAGTGAAGACATGTATTATATTTGAAAGAGAGGCTGAAGAGCAATATGAAAGTTTGCAGTGGAAGACTAATTAATCAACTTTTCAAATAGATTACAAACGAAACTTCAAAGCTCTCGATTGGACAATTGTTTTTAAGTGAACGCTTGTAGGATATTACTTGAGAAAACTTTTGAGGAAAAGCCTTGGTGTACCATGGGTCACATGAAGAAGTAGTAAAAAATTAGGCCCAGCTTGCACTAAAGAATATTATTAAATAAGCTAATTGGCTATCGAAATGATGATACGTTTGAATTAAAGAAACATCAGAAAAAATAACATACCCACCACCCCGGCAACTTCCAACTGTCCCTTCTGTCGAGCATTTTCTTCTTTTTGGCGCAAGTAGTGCATGAAGTCGTCGATACTTAATCTAGGAGCCGTTTTACCTATAAATTGTAGCATCGTGGTTGACATTAAATACCAATATTTGTTAAAGTAAAGACAGATATACATGAACAATACA